TCCAAGATCTCTCTTGTTGGTCGAACTCTACTATCTGGGTAAAGTTTTACTTGCAACAGTTCTGGAGTTAGACAATAGTGTGGGTTCTCTGGGGCTGGAGAAATATCAATCTTCAACTGAGCTATGGAATGAGAAATTATAGCGTAATAGCCATTTGCTTAAAAAACAAAAATTGATCTTGAATATGTTTTTCAGCAGTCATATGTGAACTGTACCTGTGATAGGTCTCAGGCGTCTTAGAACAGAAGAAGGCCTCTTCATATCCGCAAGGAATTTGTATAAATCTTCATCACTCAACCGGTCACCTTCCTATAGTTGATAAATAAGGGAAGCAATCATTTCCAGCCAACAGCACTGGAATAAGTGACTTATGACCTTGCAGTATCCCCCTAGCCACTGACCAAAATTTGGATGCTTGGCAACTGGCTCATATTTATGACAGTTGAAGTGCCCTGGGGTCTTTTGCAATCTTCCGACAAGCAAAGTCAATGAGGAAGCCAGATTCACTTAACAACCATGTTACTAACTTATTGTCATAATCAGGCCCTATCTTTTTCCTTTGTTTGCATCATAAGTAGGCCCAATAAAAAAAAGTTCAGATGGATTTCAGGGCAAAGGAAGCACTAAATGTTTTCTGCATTCTTTCAAAAATGAGGAAAAGCCATATGACAGTCCATTTTCTCCTGGACTACAACTCCTTTTAACTTGGTAATTACTCCTATTTCATCATATCCTTGGCGCTACTGAACTTAGATAAACATTAGTAGTAGCCAAATTAAAATATGGAACACTTTCCTACATAATGTTGCCATACACAAGGATACTGGAAAATTCAGTGTAAAAGGGTACTTAAAACATGCCGCATGATGCTTATGACAAACAGCCTATCTCATCTGAGATCACATATCAAGGTGAGAATATAAAGCTTGGTGTGGCACATTCTCTTGCACTGACTCCACACATCAATTGGTTAAGGGGATAGAAGCAGGCTGAGAGGATGCACCAAACCTCTTGCCCCTCAAAATTATGTGGCTTCCCTGAAAGAGAAAGTGTACAGCCACAGACCACTAGTTCAATTGAAAGGAAGTTCCAATTTGCATCGGAAGCTTACACATATAAAAATAATATACAGTAGCTGTAACACATGAATGCATGAGAGCCAGTTTGGTGTAGTGATGAAAAAACTAGGGTAGAAACCAGAAGACTGTGAATTCTAGGCTAAGCACGAAGGCAGCCGGAGGGCCTAGGGCTAGTCTCTCTCAGCACTCAGAAGAAGACAATGGCAAGCCACTTCTGAAAACCTTGCTAAGAAAACCTAGCAGGCAGTCCAGGCAGTCACCAGGAGTCCACACTGAGACTCAATGGTACAAAAACAAAACAAAACATGAATACATTGGACATCTCCAAGCCTTGAATAAATACCTGTCAATAGGTTTCATTCTATAATCTTGGTTAAGAAAGATACGGAAGAGGTACCATTTATCAAATATATTACCAAAATATAGCTTATTTGTGCTTTTTTTTTCTTTTGTTCATTCATCTCCAATTCTTGGAGATTACCTGGTTTCTATCCTGATGCCAAACTGGTTCTTTTTTGTGTATATATCTAGATATAAGTTATATATTTCTTGTAGGCATAATGAACTGATTAGGACAACATATCATAAAATAATAACAATAATAACATATGACTAGTTGTAGCAATTGTTACTATATCAAGAATAGTGGAATACCTGTTTAAAGAAGTTTGTCACTGTCAGGGTAGCTGGTCTAAAGTTAGTCAGGTTACAGGCCTCGTCCCCACTAGTGGTTCTTTCTAGAGAACGCCTACCAACAATGCTAGAATTTCTTCTTTCAGACCAAGATCCTTTGCGTTCTTTTTAAAAAAAGGGGGAAATAAATAAAACTTCCATAATTACTTCTGAAAGGCTAGCTGTATGAACTTTGGAGAATGCAAGTTAGGAGAGACAGTTATGCTAACACAATTTTACTCCTGAGGCACCAAAAATGCACAAAGCAGTCATTACCCTTACTTCCCTCACAACAACAGTACCAAGTGGCTTGTGCTTATTATAAACCACATGGCAATTTATGTCTTCATTCCTCAAAAAATGATGAAGTTAGCCATTCTGAGGGAGATGGGAGGTTTAGAAATAGGAAATATAAATAAGTAAAATTCTGAATATACTGCGTAGTAGTATCCAACAATAAAATACTCCATGATACTTCTTCACAATAATCACTTCATTCCTGTGGAATATGTTCGCCAGTAACACTTCCACAGAATTAGCAGAACAGTTTTAGAAAACAGCAGATAGACTAGGAATAAAATCCCTAAAATATAATTCTATTTGTTATTGCAGGATTTATTTCATGGGCTGCACACAATCATCCTCAGCAGCCCTGGTCTTCAGTTGGTCGATGCCAGGTTGATATATACAATAAAGCAGTGACAAGATCCAGGATCTTATAATGAATGAGACAACTAATTTGAGATAAGATTGAAGATGTTACCTACTCAGGTAATGAAACATCTGCAAGAAAGCAACCAAGCTCAGAGAGCACCAAGGACTCCATATTACAAAAATATTAAAAGTTCATCAGACACTAAAACCCACTAGGCCAGGGGTAGGCAACCTTGGCTCTTTTATGACTCGTGGACTTCAACTCCTAGAATTCCTGAGTCAGCATGGCTGGTTCAGGAATTCTGGATATTGAAGTCCACAAGTCATCAAAGAGCCAAGGTTGCCTACCCCTGCACTAGGCTGATCTAGCTTTTCGGCAGCAAAATCTGCAGTCCTTTGCATCTCTAAGCCATTTGCTTGTTTTTATCAGCATATTCTATATTATAAATATATACCTTATGTGAATTTATTTCCATTAGTAATGAAATGCTATTTTTTTAAGTGATAGGTAGTACGTAACTGAAAACAAATGTTGCGGCTAGTAAACATGTAGTGTTAAAAAAAGCAAGCAATTTCACATATTGGTCTTTTGCTGAGACTTATTTTCAATTTCTTATAATACGTTTAGATATCTACCTCCAGTGGCAATTTCTACTTCTGCAGAATCTCTTTCCAAACTTCCAGCACTGCTGACTATATTCATTAAATGAATAGCAGTCCAGGCAAAAGGCATGCGATATTTGCCAAGTCTTTGGCAAAATTGTTCTGATTGGCTTTTCAGTTTGTCTAGCTTTTCCTTGTTCTGCAAAAACAAAAAACAAGAAAAGAAACCTGTTCAACACAACTGAAACATTTCTAAAACATTAATAGTTCTCTTCTAATTATAACATGTCAATTCATGTTTAAAAACTGTAAGTTGGGATATTTTAAGAATATTTTTTCATATACTGTAGGAAATAAGAATTTTTTTATTGAGGCATTTGATTGTATAGAAAAGACAGTCCTCACATGAATTAAAGATTTTTTTAAAAAATATTGTGCTAAGTAATGCAACAGACCTTTAAATGTGGCTTAAATATGCATTGAAATGAAAGCACTTGCCTCTACTTGCAAGTGAAAATCACAGAATTTGCAATTACGTCAATAACAGAATCTAAGAGAATTATCAAAATATAACTCTAAACAATTACAAGCTACACAGTAGCTACAAGAGAAATATATGTTGCAACCAAACAAAAGGAGACTGATGCAAGATTATGAAAAAGCAGCTCAGAGAGAGCTATTACTTGTTTAGAATTCTTTCTAGAGTTATGCCAAGACCTCAAAAATATTAACAATATCTTATTTTTA